CCCCGTGCCCAGCCCTGCACTCACCAGCTGGGGGCTCAGATCAAACCTCTCTCCTTCAGCTTGCCCACCAGGTCCTCCACCGTCTCCACCTTGAGGCCGGCCTGGCGCTGGGACGGCTCCTGGACGCTTTGCACCGACAGTCGGGAGGTGAGATCCACCCCCAGGTCAGAGGCTTTCAGCACCTCGATCTTCTTCTTCTTGGCTTTCTGAGACAACAGCCAGGCAGGGAACCCAGGCAGCCGGGCTCCCAGCTCTAACCACTAGCCCCCCCGCCTCCCTGGGCTGGAGAGAGAACCCAGATGTCCTGGGCTCCCAGCCCCTGCTCTAACCACTAGCCCCACCTCCCCTCCCTGAGCGTGGGGGAGAACCCAGGCATCCCTGACGTTTCCCGCAAGGGTAACGTGGTATCATGGGGCTGTGCCCGGGACACACTGTCTGTACCCGAGGCCGCGGGCACAGCCGGCCGTGTGAAGGCTGCGACCTGCTGGACCCAGCTGTTCCGTGCCAATGCCCCGGCGCGGAGATGGCACAGGAGGAAACACGCTGGATGCTGCCTGTGGCCCACCCAGGAGGCTGTTCAGTCACTGACCAGCAGGAGGCGCTGAGCGAGGGATTCCTGGCTCCACCCCCTATTCAGGTGCAGGAAACCAGCCGGGTGGGAAGGGAGGGCCCCCAAGCCAGCGACTCCACATCGCCGCAGGCCAGGGCCAGGCGAGTGTCTCCCAGGCAGCCAGCCCCTCTCCTCTCCCACCTGGGCTGGAAGCAATGAGCACGCAGGGCAGACCCCGCCGGAGGAGAGGGCCGGGCTTGTAGGGCGCCTGCGTCCTCTGGCTGCGCCGTGCGGGGGCAGCACGGTGCCGATCTAAGCCCTGCCCGGCAAGGCTGCAGCCTCACACTGCACCCGGGCTAAGAAGGTGTCCTGGGCAGTGCAGCTCTGGGGTGCCGGGCTGGGGCCTGTCCCTGGAGCAGAGGCTTTGAGAGCCAGCTATGGGGGGCGCCCCCTGCTAGTGGCTCAGTGATAACAGCACCTGGTGGCTTATGGCTGGCAAAGCACTGAGACAGCCCAGGCCAGGCACGAAGGGGGCCAGACGGACCCTACTTCCAGCTCCCACCATAGGATTCTGTCAGTTACCCAGCTGCCCCACCCCAAAAGTGGCTGCATCTTGGCGCGAGGGTTCCCATAACCCCCCTCACCATGATGTTGGGCAGGGTGGCGTAACGGGGCTCGTTGAGCCGCAGGTCGGCTGTCACCACGGCCGGCAGCTTGAGCCGGATGCTCTCTAGGCCTCCGTCGATCTCCCGTTCCACCGTCAGCTGCTGCCCTTCCAGCGTCAGTTCGGAGGCGAAGGTCCCCTGCAGGGCCAGGCCAAGGGGGTTAGGGAGCACCCTCCCCTAGGATGCCTCCCAATCTTCCCTCCCTGGCCACATGCCCCACTTGCCAGAACCCCGTCCCTGTCGTTCCCAGCTCCCAGACCCTCCCCCCACCCCATGCCTCTGGCTCCCCCTGCCGCTGTCATCTGCCCAGTCTGGTTGCAGTCATCGTCGATGGCCTGGGAAGGAGAAGATGAGTCAGCCCAAGCCAGACCCTCAAGATCCTCCCCATCCCATCATGAGGCTCCCCAGGGGCTGGGAACGGTGTCCCAAGTCATGCAGCACAGCAGGCAGGCAGGATGCTGGGGTAGATGGGCCCATGGGGCTGAGCTGTGGAGAGTGAGCAGGCAGGATGCCGGGGTAGATGGGCCCATTGGGCTGAACACAGGAGGGGAACTCACCTGCTTGCCCAGCAGCACCAGGCTGACCCCCTCCTTCTTGGCTAGCGCGGCCAGGATCTTGGCCACCTGGAAGGGGCCGATGGTCTCGTACTCCGGGGCTGGGATCTCCACATGCACCCCCCGGTCAGCTCCCATGGCCAGTGCAGTCCGGATGGTCTCCTGGGGAGGGGCAGAGCTAGAGTTCAGGGGCAGGCGAGGCAGCCTCTGGTCCCGACCTCAGTCCCCCAACCATGTTCCCAACCCCGGGGCGGGGCTGGCTGGCTCCCTGCCCAGCCCCGAGCGGGGAAGAGGTCTGGCACATTCCACTTCCAGCAGGCTGCTGAAATTGGGAACCATCAATGAGGGGAAATGTAGGGCTAGGCTGCCAGGGCTGCAGGTCAGGAGTGAGGGGCACTAGCAGGGTGGGGATAGGGAGGGCTGGGGTGGGAGGGCTGGGGCCGTGAGGGGCAGTGGCTGAAGATCGAGGGCCCACAGGGGCTGTAAAGCCAGGACAGAGCTGGGCCAGGGGAGGATCCAGCAGAGCCTAGGCAGGGAACCAGTGGCAGGATTCAGGGGTGGGGGCTCTCCCCAGCAGGCAAGGCTGGCCCCAGTACAGTACTAGGGGGTGGGGTGCTGCAGAGTGGGGCTCTCTCCAGCAGGCAGGACTGGCCCCAGCCTGACACCAGGGGCGGGGTGCAGCGCATCCCAAAAGCAGACACATTTCAGCCTGGCAGTGTGGGGGAGTTTCCTGAGGGCTGGAGGCAGGCTGCAGAGGGGAGCCAACAGGTTGGTAGGAGGATCATGGGAAGTGGGAGGAGCTGGGGGGCAGGTACCTGGCACTGGGTCGCTAAGTGAGGTTGGTACCTCATACTGCAGGGCAACAGGGCAGGTCCCAGCAGTGAGGGGCACTGAGGGACCCAAAGGGGCTGCATGGGAGGGGGAGCAGAAGGGGTGTTCGGTGCCTGGCATGGGAGGGAAAACTGAGGAGTTAGGAGGGCAGGGCCCAGCAACAGGGCAGGTCCCAGCAGTGAGGGGCACTGAGGGACCCAAAGGGGCTGCATGGGAGGGGGAGCAGAAGGGGTGTTCGGTGCCTGGCATGGGAGGGAAAACTGAGGAGTTAGGAGGGCAAGTACCAGGGAGTGAGGGTCGGGGGAA